CCCAGGAGTATTCTGTAAACTTTCATTATGAAACCCTTGTCTGTGATGGTATTATTGTCAAATGTTTGTTCCCAGTCAGTAGGTTTTCTTTTTACCCTGTCAGAAAAAAAGTTTTGTTAAACACAGAAATTTAATCTTAAAAGGTCATACCCATCATCTTATCCTCTTCAGACTGTACATTTCTGGCTATATTTGTCAGTTTCTGTATACCATAGATTAAGCTGGCAAAACTGGACTACTGACTACAGAAAGTTGAAAAAGGATCCATATTGCACACCATATACAGACATCAACTCAAGGTGGACCAGAGACATGAGAGTAAAGCCCTAAACCATAAAGTTCATAAGAGACAAATGGAGATCAAGCTTAAATTAGTATCTTTGGTGTGTGGTATTTCATAAAAGCAATAATTCCTGTAAAAGCTTATTGTCATGGAATCAGTTTGACTCATAGTGACCCTCCTACCAGCTTCCAAGGTCAGAGACTGTGTATCTTCCCCTGGCTGACTGGCAGGTAAATTTGAACTGCCAGTGTTTTGGTTAGCAGACCAGTGAATTATTCACAATTATATAAGGGCTCCTTCTATAGAAATGATGGCCTTAAAAGCACAAAAGAACATCAATAAATGTAGAATATATAATCCATTATTGTATTTGTTTTATAAACTAATAGACTATTGTTTTTAGAAAAGTCTTGTATATTTATTATTGTTGTTATGTTTCATCATGTTGCTTGTGACTCTATGCACAGCAGCTCTGGACCTTGCTCTATCCTGAGCCAAACTTATTGTCTCTGACATACCTACCCCCATTACTCCAGTCACTGAGTCAATCCATCTCATTGAGGGTCTTCCTCTCTTGTGCTATGCCTTCACCCTCTCAAGCAGTGATCCCTCTCCGAGGACTGCCCAAAAGTATGCCAGACAGAGCTTCAAAACCCTCGCCTCCAAGAAATAGCCTGGTTTCATCCTCTCCAGATGAACCTGTTTGTTCTCCTAGCAGTCTGTGGCATATTCAGTACTCTTCTCCAGCACCACAACTCAAACACATCAATTCTCTTTCTATCATCCCTCTTCATTGTCCAGCTTTCTGATGCATATCAAGTAATTGCAAAGACCGTGACTTGGATTGGGCACATCTTAATCTCCAGACTGACATTGATGCTCTTCAAGTACTCTGGAGAGGTCGTTGACACCAGACTTTCCCAATGAAGTTTGTCTCTTGATTTCCTGGTTGCTGGTACCAAGAGTATTGGTTGTGGAGCCAAGTAAACTAAAGCTGTTAACAATCTCAATCTCTTCACCATCATCATGATGTTGCCTTTTACACAAGTAGTGAGAATCTTTGTGTTCTTGATGTTGAGCTTCAGTACATATTTAAGGCTGCAGTCCTTGACCTTCTGCAGCAAGCACTTCAGGTCTTCCTCAGTTTCATCAAGCCAGGCTGTGTCATGTGCATAGTGCAGGTTGTTGTTTTCTTCCAATCCTGATGCCACATTCGTCCTCATGGAGCCCAGCCTACGAAATGATCTGTTTCATATAGAGATAGAAAAGGTATGGAGATAGGGCACATCCCTGGCAAACGCCCTTCCCGATTTTGAACTGTGCGATGTTTCTCTGCTTTTTTCTGCTGTCTGCCTCCTGGACCAACGATAAGTTTCGCATAATCATGAACAAGTGTTTTGTGATTCTCGTTTTTCTTAGAGTTAGCCACAGTTTTTTGTGATCTGAATAGTCAATGCTTTTGCATAGTCAGTGATACATAGACATTCCTCTGGTGCTCTCTGCTTTCAGCCAAGATCTATCTAACATTAGCTATAACATCCCTAGTACCACAGCCTTTTCTAAACCCAGCCTGTACAGCTGGTCATTCTTTGTTGATGTTCTGTTCCAGTCTTTTTTTAAATGTGTATTGTAGCTTATATTTTAACATTTCTCAGTTAGCAATAATGATGAGATTTTTCCCATTTATTGTGTCAGATTTTTCATAATAATCCAGTAGTAATATTTACACTTTGGCTGTGAACTAAAAGGTCAGTGTTTTGAAACACCAGTCTGGTTTCAGGGCCATAAAGATGGCATACAGCATCAAGTGTTGGAATGGATTTGGAGACAACGGGTTTTAGTTTTGGTTGTTTTTGTTTTGTTTTGAAGTCAGTTTTTATGTTTACAAAAAGTGGATAGTTGAATCGTATATTTGGAACTCCCATCTTCCTATTTTAATCAAAGGTTGTACAAATATGTTTAAGGACCTGGTCGTTGACCCTACTGATCACAGGAGAAAGTTGTGTAAGTTAGCTAAAAAGGTAGTGTGAGTCAGAATCAACTCCATTTGGAAATCTCATGGTGGTAGTTCTTTGCTAGGAGTTGTATCCTACAAAACAGAATGTGTTATGAATGCTTCATCCTGTGAGCTTCAGATGTACTCTTCAGAACAGGAAATAGAAAACTGTCCTCCTCCCCCTTCCCTTCACAACTCTTTTATTCTCAGCAAGATCATTTTTAAATTGATAAGCATGTTCAAATTTTAAAATTAGACCTTGACCCCTGTTGCCTTGGATGCAGGCCGAGCTACCAACAGACCTTCCATTATACAGAAGAGTGGATACAAGATGCAGTAGACTTGAGGTGGGGGAATTCAGCTCTTGGATTCCCTTGCAGCTGTGCCTATCTTTATTGCCCTCCCTCTGTGATTTCCCTCTCTTTATGTTTCATCTTTACCTGAATTAGCTAAGTATGTTGTCGTTGTTGTTATGTGCCTTCAAGTCACCTGCAAATCAAAGTGACCCTATGTACAACAGCCCTAAACCCTGCTCTATCCTATGCCAACCTTATTGTCTCTGACAACTACCCATATTACCCCAGTCACTGAATCAATCCATCTCATCGACAGTTCTTCTTTCTTGCGCTGTTCTTCCACCCTATCAAGCATGACTACCCTCTCCAAGTACTGGTCCCCCCTTGCAATATGTCCAAAGTATGTCAGACAAAGTTTCAGAATCCTTGCCTCCAAGGAGCAGCCTGGCTCCACCCTCTGTAGGACGAACCTGTTTGCTCTCATAGCAGTCCATGGTATATTCTTCTTCTCCAACACCACAGCTCAAAGGAATCAATTCTCCTTCTGTTCTCCCTAGTCATTGTCCAGCTCTCTGATGCATAGCAAGGGATTGCAGAGACCATGGCCTGTATCAGGTGCACCTTTCTTCAGACTGACATCATTGTTCTTCAGCACTTTGGAGAGGTCTCTAACAGCGGACTTTACCAATGCATTAAGTCTTTTAATTTCCTGACTGCTAGTGCAAAACCTATACTTGTACCAAGAGGCAGTCGTCAGAATAGAGCCACTGCATGGTTCAAAATTGGGAAGGGCATACTCCAGAGATGTGTCCTGTCTCCATACCTTTTCAACCTGTATGCAGAACAGATTATCCGGAAGGCTGGCCTCTATGAGGAGAAATGTGGGGTCAAGATTGGTGAAAGATCTATCAACAATCTACATTATGCAGATGAGACAACTCTGCTTGCTGAAACTGAGGAAGACCTGAAGCACTTGCTGCAGAGGGTCAAGGACTCTAGCCTTCAATATGGATTGAGTCTCAATGTCTAGAAGACAAAGATTCTCACGACTGGGCCAACTGGCAGTATCAGGATGGATGATGAAGAGATTGGGATTGTTCACAGCTTTAGTTTGCTTGGTTCCACAGTCAACATTATTGGCACCAGTAGTCAGGAAATTAAAAGACATATTGCGATGGGAAAGTCTGCTGTTAGGGACCTCTCCAAAGTACTGAAGAGCAATGGTGTCTGATGCAGGCCGTGGTCTTTGTAATCACTTGTTATGCATCAGAGAGTTGGACAATAACTAGGGAGGATAGAAGGAGAATTGATGCCTTTGAGCTGTGGTGCTGGAGAAGAGTATTGAATGTACCATGGACTGCTAATAAAACAAACAGATTCATCCTGGAGAGGGTTAAAATGGGCGGCTCCTTGGAGGCAAGGATTCTGAGGCTTCCTCTAATATAATTTGGACATGCTGTAAGAAGTGACCGGTCCTTGGAGAAGGACATCATGCTTGGTAGGGTGGAGGGACAGCGCAGGAGGGGAAGGCCCTCTATGAGGTGGATTGATTCAGCGACTGGGATAATTGGGATGGGAGTGTCAGAGACAGTGCGATTGGCACAGGACAGAGCAGAGTTTAGGGCTGTTGTACATAGGGTCGCTAGGAGTCGCAAGCAACTCGACAGCACATAACAACAACAACAACAACAGTGCCAAGAATGTTGATTGTGGAGCCAAGCAAACTAAAGTTGTCTACAGTGTCAATCTCTTCCCATCAATCACTATGCTGCCAATCGCCCCAATACCTCAACATAATTTTTGAGGCCATTTAAAAAAATGCACTCTAGTGGCTTAGTGGTAAGGTGTTGTGCTGCCAATTTAAAGACAAGCTGTTTGAATACACCAGATGGTTCTCCTTAGAAGAACGATGGCTAATCATCTCCGTGTGATTATTGCCTGACCCCACTGTGTACAACAACCACAACCACAACAACAACATGTCCAGCTAGGATCCCTGGCCTCACAGGAAAATCTACCAGGTTTTGGGGTAGAAGGAAGATGAGGCAGTCCAGTAAAGATTCACAACCCAAGGCTCAGAAGAAGCCGTTCTTCTTTGCCCTTTACGTTTGCAATGAGTAGGCACGGACTCCTGGCAGGGCAGTGGTCTTGTCTTGGGTGCTACTGAGTATAGTGTAGCAGGCCAGTCACGCTTCCCGGTCCCCTTGTCTCTGACTCTGAGACCAAGGCGCACGCGCGTCTGAGCCAGGCCCCGCCGGGGAACGTCGTTCCGCCGGCAGGCGGCGCTGTGACTACTCGGCTCCCAGCTCCCTGCTTGGTGGCCGCCGCCGCTGGCGCTACTTTCCTGTTCCTGCTGCTGGACTCCTGCAGCACGTGCAGCTGTTCTGCTCCTTGTGGAATTCCCCTCCGGTTAAGGGCTCCTGCCATGGCGGCGGCGGCAGGGCCGCGCGTATTCTTGGAGGCGAGGCGAAGGCTGCAGAGCGCGCTGCTGATCCTGGGGTAAGGCCGGGGACCGGCGTGTGGCCGTCAGGGACGTCTGCCCAGGTGTCTCCAAGCTCCTTCCGCCCGCAGTCCCCGGCATAACAATGCAACATGTGCCTTGGAAGCCTCTAGTCGGGTTCGGCTTCCTGCGTCTGTTCCGACGTGGGAGCGTCCTATCTTGTAAATACCTAGTGACTGCCTGTCCACGCCCTCTCCTCTCCCCCAGATACCCTCTGTTCCAAGGCGAGGAACTAATTAATAGGTGTTCCGTGACTGACTGACAAGGATTGAGGGATTCTTATTGGAGCTTTTTCTTTTGTCTCTCAAGTTCCAATGAGAGATCTGCACACCTTAACTCGTTATTCTCAACGCAAATAACAAACTTTTTGGACATTCTCATGACGTGATAGCAATTTAATACGCAATTTGATTTTAGTTGTTTTCGTCTCTCTGCTATTTCAAATGGAGGAACTAGATCTGAAAATGTAATTTTTATTATAGAGCACTACTTTTGAGTTAAACTGATGCTTAGCTTTCCCTCTTACATGTGTGAGAGCTGGTTCTCACAAAGGTACAAAAATTAACCTCAATTTTTTCTCTTGTAAAATAGGTATGATGTTTATGACATTTGTTGTTGTGTACCATCGAGTTAGAACCGACCCATAGCCGACTCTCCAGCGGGTGTTCAGAGGTCGTGAATTCCATGGCAGGAGATTGCCCATCTTTTCCTGTGGAGAAGCTGGTGGATTTGGACCACGCACCTTTTCCTTAACAGTATAATTCATTACCGCTGCTTAAAAGGATGAGTTCACACAAATTATCTCCAATTCCAGTCCAGGTTATTAGAAGTCTTAATAAGATCATGTGTGTGTAACACCTAAATTTAAAGCATAATAGAAATGTACTGTTGTTATTAGGTACATTTGAATCCTGATTCATAGCAATCCTAGTCCTCTTCCAGCCTCACAATTGACTCTGTGCTTGAGCCCATTGTTGCAGACACAGGGACATGGGGAAGATCCATCTAATTGAGTGTCTTCCTCTACATGGCTTTATATTTCAGATTGCATCAATTCCTGAATGCAATTGCAATATATATATATATATATAATATAAATTTTTTTTTTGCTGTTGGTTATATATATTTTATATAATACATATCACCCCGGTGTGGTCTCATAGTTGACTCTAATAGGTTTTCAGAGACAATCATGTGGGAAGAGATTGAACATTTTTTCCACCTCTCAGAGCAGCTGGTGGATTCAAACTGTGTGCCTTTGGCACTGCAGTGCTTCTTTTTACTATTAGGCCATCAGAGTGTGTATGTACGTGTGTATATATGTGTGTATATATACACACACATACATGCACATATGTTTACACACATAGTTGTTGTTAGGTGTCATCAAGTTGACTATGACTCATAGCAATCCTATGAACAATGACTCTGAACCTTACCCTATCCTGAGGCAACCTCACCTTCTCTCACACATCTTACCCCACTGCCATAGTTTCTGTCAGTCCGTCTCATTGAGGGTGTTTCTTTCCTTTACTGACACTCTACCCTTCAAAGCATGATGTCTTTCCCTGAGGACTGGTTGCTCCTGGCAACATGCTCAAAGTATGGGAGACAGAGCTTCAAAATCTTCTGTCCCTCCAGGACATATCTGTGTGTTCTTTTGGTAGTCCATGGTATGTTCAATACTCTTCTCCAGTACCACAATTCAAAGGTATCGATTCTTCTGTCATCCTTATTCATTGTTCAGCTCTCAGATGAATAGCAAGCAATTGAGGAAACCATGGCCTTAATCAGGTACACTTTAGTCTCCAGATTGACATTGTTATTCTTTGGTACTCTAAAGAGATCCTGGCTTAGTTTGTCTGTTTTCTGCTCTCTTGGGTAGAAAGTTTGTCAGTTAATGTACTTAAGCAGAGCTCTCAAATTAAGACAAACTTGGAAGAAGGATTGACCATCCACTTCTATATTAACAGGCCTTCAAAAACTCTCTCTCTTTCCCCATATAGATATATCCGGTTGCCAGTGGTAAGGATTTGCACTGTCAACCCAAAGACACCAGCTGATTTGAATCTACCAGCTGCTCTGAGGGAGAAGGTGGACAGTCTCCTCTTGTGGGATTTACTGTCTCTGAAAATCTGCTGGAGGGTCAGCTCTAATTCTGCAGCATACAAGTATCTATCTATGTGTCTGTTTGTGTGTGTATGTATTCACACACACACACACACATCTATGTCTGTATAGAGAGAGCTATATAGATATAGCTATATATAAATTTCCTGTTTTCTGTAACTTCTCTTACCACGCATTAAAAGTCGTGACTGTGCCTAATATTAAGAGGTGAATTTAAGTTTGCCTTTATTATTTATGATAGAATATAACAAATATTTTTATTTATTATCTTGTCACTAGGCTCCTAGACAGTATCACAAAGTCCTGCTCACCTTGCCCTTTCTCTCCTGTTGTCGTCTCTCTAGCACTGGTATCTGAACTTTCCTGTACTTCTGTACACAATGCCGTGGCGAGACTCTGTCTCACATGCTTTGGGTTTATTATCAGGGGGGTCTAGTCCATGGAGAATGACATCATGAATGGAAATATAGAGTCAGCAAAAGAGAACCCCCTTCATGAAATGGATTGGCAATGTAAAATGAGCAAGGTCTGCGTGAGGCAGCCATACCAGATTTCTACAAACTCCACAAAGAGGACTGCCCCTGTCCACAACAGCCACAACACAAAACCAATTCCTATGAGATCAAACATGTCCCCTGTCCTTTCACATTTCTTTGTACACATCTACATAACAATCCTACTGCTCTGCTGTTGTTATGTGCCATTGAGTAGCTTGCAACTCATAGTGACCCAATGTACAACATCTCTAATCCCTCCTCTATACTGAGCCAACCTCATCATCTCCAACACACCTACCCCCATTAACCCAGTCATTGAGTCAGTCCATCTCATCCAGAGTCTTCCTTTCTTGTACTGTCCCTCCACCCTTCCAAGCATGATGTCCTTCTCTAAGGACTGGTTCCTCCTTGCAACATGCCCAAAGTATGTCAGACTAAGCTTCAGAATCCTTGTATCCAAGTAGCAGCCTTGCTTCAGCCTCTCCAGGACAAACCTGTTTGTTCTCCTAGTAGTCTATGGTGTATATAATACTCCTCTTCATCACCACAGCTCAAAGGCATCAGTTCTTCTATCATCCCTAGCCATTGTCCAGCTTTCTGATGCATAGCAAGTAATTGTGAAGATCATGGCCTGTATCAGGTGCATCTTAGTCTCCAGAGTGACGCCATTGCTCTTCAGTACTCTGTAAAGGTCCCTGACAGCAGATTTTCTCAATGCAAATTGTCTTGATTTCCTGGCTGCTGTTACCAAGAATGTTGATTGTGGAACCAAGCAAACTGAAGCTGTTAACAATCTCATTCTTTTCGCTGTCTGTAATGATGCTGCCAATTGGCCCAGTGGTGAGAATCTCTGTCCTTTTAATGTTTAACTTCAATCCATATTGAAGAGTACAGTGTTTGATCTACAGGAAACATTTCAGGTCCTCCTCAGTTTCAGCAAGCGATGTTGTGTCATCTACATAATGCAGGTTTGTTGATGAGTCTTCTTCAAATCCTGATGCCACATTCCTCCTCATCCACATTCCTCCTATTGCTCTAATGAGTCCAAAATCTGTTGAGATAGCTCAGAGACCACACAGAACTGTATTAGGAAAGTCAGAAGACAATAATCAGGCTAGTAGTAGATACAGTCAGTCATTCAGGCAATCAGGCAATAAGGCTTCTGAGGTGTGCTACGGGCACCTCAGCCTTCACCCTCCAGGCTTTCAGCCAGTGTAACAAAGCTCTTTGTTTTGTTTGTTTCTCAAGTGCTGTTGAATCTTATGCCTATCAATTATGGTCTGTTTCCTCCCCCCCGCCCCCCACCGACTCCAAAATCTAAGAAACTTGGGTAAAAGGTCTTAGCTCTAGTTTGGTGGAGTAGCAGTCTCAGGTCAGCTCTAATGCTGGGTCTTTGGTTCTCTACTGCTGGCTGCTGCTGCTTTCCCATAGGTCTGGCTGTTGAAAGAATCTGTGGCTCCAAAGGGCATGCACTGCTTCTCTACTTCTTTGCTGATGGTGGGACTTTCAAATTCTGCTACAGAATCTGCTTAATTTAGTGGCAAGACTAGTGAATCCCTTTGTGGATAGTCTAATGTGTCCTATTCACATATTCCTGTGCATCCACATGACAGAGTCACACACAGTGACTGTAGCCATAGCAGGCTGTTGCACAACAGAGGTTGTTCAGAGGGTACGTGATCAGTAGGGTTTCTTTTAAGCATACAAAGGGTTGTTAGTCGACAGCACCTAACAGCAGAAACCCTAGGAAACTTTAAAAATATACTGATCATTTTAGATTTCAGAGAATCCTTAATGGTGTATTGGCTTATTCGTTAGGCTGCTAACGAAAGGACAACAGTTTAAACTCTCCAACTGCTCTGTAGGGGAAAGATGAAACAGTTTGCCTTTGTTGAGACTTGCTGTTCAGATGTAGAAAGCCAGTGGACCCTCTCATCAGTCAGAGATGGAATCAATTAGACACAGTGGGTTTTTTAAGTCTTTGGTGGTTCTGATTTTGGCACTTGATGAGTTGCTTATTTTTATTGGTTTCATACAGTCTTTCACGTATGTTGTGTTCCATTTATGGACATTGTGTTTTATGCATTCATATACATTGTGTTTTATATCATTAATTACCATCAATCAATATGTTTTGTCACTTCATCTCATCAAATCTTTATTGCCACTCACCTACTCCTTCACCCCCTCACCATCTGTCCACTAATTTCTCCTGCTCTGGTAATTCTTCGTCCCCTCATCCTCCTCTGCCTTCTGCCCTTTCCTTTTTGAACAATTCTACATAACCTGTTATTTTCTAATTACAATGGCCATATTGTCGTTCAGTTCATGCCAGAGATGAGTTTTTGTTGAGGCATAATTTCTAAAAATTTTATATAGACAAGTGTCCAGTTTGGTTTCAGTCTGACATATACATCTATTTCAGCACAAGCTATAACAAAGATACAGAATGTTTCTGCCACTTCAGAACACTTTCTGGTGTGATTTTTAGGTGAAACTGGAAATTAGCCCTGGGTGGAACAGTTTATCTCAGCTGCTAACCTGAACATTGGTACTTGAAACCCACCTGCTGGCACTGTAGAGAAAAGGCCTGGCAATCTTTGTCCATGAAGATTACAGTAAAGAAACCCTGTGTAAATAAGTCAGAATCAGCTGGAGGGCAACTGTGGGACTAACAGCTGAGACCAACTGCAAGAATAATAGTAAACCGTTTCTCCCCAAAGTGAAACTTCAGCATGAAAATATCATAGCTCTTCCTTGGTCTCATCTCTCAAATGCAGATGCTCAGGATCCTCTTGTTCTCCCTTGAAGACATCAGTGAATCCAAGACTGGACCCTACTTGTCATAGCTGTTTCCCAGATTCATTAACATAACTCCAAACTTTACCAAAAGACCTCCCTTCATTCTCTTGTTAAGCAGCCCTTCACATTCCCCTGAATATCCTCCCTTTTTTGATACATCTAAGTTTGCTCGACTGTTTGTAGTTTTTGGCTGTTGAGCTTTATGGCCAATTTTCACTACCGTTGAGACTTCCTCTGTTTAATTTCTATCAGCAAAGATTAATTTTAGCAGAAGTGGCATCCACTGCCTAAACCACTCTGGAAACTCTTTTTTGAACTTTGAGAAATGACGATATTGAAAGGCTTCATGTCTTTTGTTCATGGGGTCGCTATGAGTCGTGCTTGACTCGATGGCAATCAACAACAACATTCATGAGCTCCATATAAATGAACTTAAGCAATACGTACTTTTCTTGCTATGTTCTTTTGTAATGCTTTTGAGATTCTTGTTTCATCTATGTGATTGTAGTTATCAATAGCTAGTCCTTTTTCTGGCTGAGTTGTTTCCCATTGTTTGAGTTTGTCACAGTTTGCTTATCTGGTATCCCATTGCTGGATATTTTGCCTGTATCTAGACTTTATTGTGAATGGGGCTGCCATAAGCATACTTGTCTTTTTGTGGGTATATATTTTCATATCATCTTGGTAAATACCTAAGAGTTGAATTGCTAGTCCTACATGGTACAAATGCCTGATTATAAACTGAAAGTATGGTGTTTCAACCCACTCAAAAGCATCTCTGAAGACCTGGCAATTTGCTTCTGAAAGGACACAGCTTGGGAAACTCTGTAAAACCATTCTCTTCATCACACATGAGATTGCCATGAATTGGAATGTACTCAAAGGCAGTTAACACGGACAGTTATGTTTTGCTTTATAAGAAAGTACCAAAACCACTTTCTAGTGTGACTGTCAGTTTTTATTCTTAATAGGGGCAAAAATTAGTTCTAGTGGCTTCACATTTCCCCTACATTTTGTATTGTCGGAGCTTTGATTGGAGTCAATCTATTGGGTATAAACTCTTATCTTGTTGAGCTCTGGTGGTGTAGTTGGTTGGGAGTTGTGTTTTCGACACAACCCAAAGGTAAGCAGCTGGTGCCCACTATCTGCTCTACTGGAGAAAGAGGGTCTGTCTCCTGTGTGATTTGCAGCCTCTGAAAACCTACTGGAGGGCCAGCTGTGAGTTGGTTCCAACTTGACTGCAATGAGACAGATATTATACTTTAACATGTATTCCTCTAATACTTCATAATGCTGAGTACCTTTTCATTTGCATTTTGGCCATCTATGTATGTTCTTTTGCAAAGTATCTCTGTTAGTAAGACATCTTTACTTTGAAAACAAGACCTTTCTCTCACATATATATGCTTTGTGAATATATTCTTCCAATCTGTGGCTTGCCTTTATTCTTTTGATATTAGGAGGGTAGAAGTCCAAATTCAGGGTGCTATTTGTAAGAGAATGCCTGTTGACACTAATCTTAAAGAAGTATTTCTAGTGTTAACTATCACTCAGGTAAGTTTTTGTGAATGCTGTTTGGTGGATTCTGCAATTTCT